GGTTTGAGCCATGTAGGGCGATGCAGACTTGGTGGTTGAGGTCCGCGGGACAAGAGAAACCAACAGTGATTGGAGACTGACTCTATGTGATCACATGGCTGAGAACCGATGTCAGTGGCGCAGATGTATCCCCACACACATTATCATCATCTTAACAACACTATACCGAGTCTCACCATTTTGTCATTCTTCATTTCTCTTCTTGAGTCCTTGATACTTCTTTTGACTGAATTTTCTTACCTTCATCTTCCACCTCATTTCAGTTCTACTTGATGTAGTGATAAGAGGTGTGGCAAGCTGGACCGTTACTCAGTAATGCCTGGTCCTATATTGATATAGACGATGACGAATAGACAAATACGTGATTTTTATCATCACTATTACTTCTATTATTACTGTGCGAATTGTATGGGGTTATATTTCATTGGTCTAGACACTTCACATCGCATTCCACTCCACCTACCAAATTTTAGGCAGCCAGATAGTATCATTAACTCTCATGAAGTAGGTATGGTTCATTACCTACTAAAAGAAAGTGGAAGTGGTTAATAAGCACATTTCTAACCAACTGGTTTCCGTTTCAATCCTCAGTTTTAAACTGTTGCCAAGACTGTTTTGATGTTAACGAAATTTATCGTCACTCTTTGATGTAATTCAACTTTAATATATTCACTTTTGATCACAAGTACCAGTCATCATCATTATCAACATAGGACCAGGCATTACTGAGTAACGGTCCAACTTGCCACACCTCACGTCAGTTCATCAAGTAAGAAGGTTGTGAGGTGAAGGATGAACATAACAGAATGCAGTCAAAAGAAATATAAAGTAGGAGAAGAAAGAAAAGAGGAGTGACAAAATGGTGAGATTCGGTATAGTGTTGTTAAGATGAGGATAATGTGTGTGGGGATACATCTGCGCCACTGACATCAGTTCTGAGCCATGTGATCACCTAGGGTCTCCAACCACTGGTTCCTCTTGTCCCGCACCCTCCGTCAAATTGGCCAACAGGCTTCGTTAGCAAAGACTGTAGCAACTCGGGCCATGGATGTGTGCTGTGTCTGTGAGACACGTATACAGGACTTAAGTGTGGTTATTCACCTGACCTCTCCTGACAAGTATCAGTATTATTATTCTTATTCGCATCAGTCTGATATCCCACTTTATGCTGTTTATTTAGCTATTCTTTTACTACATATCAACAAGTAGATAGAGTATTCAACTGATGAGTTCTGTTAAAAATTCCAGATTCATAAAGCCCTACTTTCTCAACTTTCTTTACTTATTGAGTAGGAAACTCTTCTTTGACTGAGAATAAGGTTTTAGAAGCTAATGTTCATCTAATTAATATGATCAATGTAGTTCTCAAGTTACTGTGAAACATCATCTTTCATCGCTGTATTCTAAAATCCTTTTGAAGAGAATAGACTTTCTGTAGGTAACAAAATAGTTTTCAGTCTGATTACTCTTAAATAGTAAACTTTTTTATAATATGGAGAGATTGGCCTTCTAGAAAAGATGAAAATATACTTACAGATATATTTAGGTTACTAATAAGGATTAACACCAAAGCTAGAAATCTTAGGAATCGAAGATAAGGTGAGTCTGAACAGCGTGTTTGTCGAAGAAATCTCAGCTCGGATACAGAAGGCCCATATGGCTGTTGCAAACTTGCGTCATCTCTACCATCGACTAGCAAGATATCCGACTATCTATCAAAGGATGAGTTTACCGGGCTGCTGTCCGTTCTGGCATCATCATCATCAACATCAATATCAACATAGGACCAGGCATTACTGAGTAACGGTCCAGCTTGCCACACCTCTTATCACTACATCCAGTAGAACAGTAGTGAGGTGGAAGATGAAGATAAGAAAATTCAGTCAAAAGAAGTATCAAGGACTCAAGAAGAGAAATGAAGAATGACAAAATGGTGAGACTCGGTATAGTGTTGTTAAGATGATGATAATGTGTGTGGGGATACATCTGCGCCACTGACATCGGTTCTCAGCCATGTGATCACATAGAGTCAGTATCCAATCACTGTTGGTTTCTCTTGTCCCGCGGACCTCAACCACCCAGTCTGCATCGCCCTACATGGCTCAAACCAACAGTCAGTCCGTTCTGGCATACGGCTGTAAGACATGGTTGTTGAAAGTAGAAGACATAAAATGATTACAGGGTGTTAATCATATATATCTTCGTAGCAATGCTAAAATTTGGTGGGATTACCGTGTTAGCAATCCTGGGCATGTGTTATACATACTGACCCATCGCCTACCATGATGTGTAATCTTTAGAGAAGTTGGTTCAGGGTGGTTAGATCAAGATATGGCACCAGTCGACAAAATCTCTGACTGTTAGTCTGAATTGTGAGAAGAGATGTAGACTACCTGACTGGGGTCCACGAGATGAAGAGAATCAATGATTGGAGACCCTTGATGACGTGATTGAAAATCGATCACAATGGCACAAATATTTCCACTTATTGACATCTCCTGAAGTTCATTCTGTCAGGCAACTTCGTCTACTTTGATATCAGTCTTTTTCTATCAGCCTGTTCTTTGTGTAATGCTGTGAAGTATGGCAACTTGAGCCGATCCACCTGTGTGGAAGGTTCCACGTTGATTTTGTCAGTCAGCATCAGAACCTGTGAACCGAAGACATTGTCAGTGATAGGAGACAGAGTAAGATTGGATAAGGTATTGCCATTTTACAAACTATTGGGAACTCTCTCCCGCAACAAAATAAAAACTTCAGTCTGTTCTATACTTGAAACTGATTTTAACCTTGAAAAACTCTATATAGTGATGTGTATAACCTTATATAAAGACCTGAATAGATTAACCGTGACCTTAAAGCTGCTGGACACTGTATAGTAAACTATGCTAAACGGTTTTCTCATTCTTGTGGTCTTTTCATTTGGCCTTGTCCTGATAAGATAAGAACACACTTTGGAGATTAATAACGACATATATTAAACTTCGTTTAGAATATGTGATCCATAAGACGAGTTAGTAGTTTGAACAATTGCTGATACTTTCACAGGCAAGCTACTTCTCCACAGTACTTCTACCTTTGACTACAGCCCTAAACCTCTCTTATTAAAAAAGCCTACCGGTACTCACATTGAATCCTACATTGTAAACTGGCTTGATTCATATTTTAATTGAGAGAAGATAGTACACTCTATAAAGAGGGAAAAGCTCTACTTAGCTGTTTAGTGAAGTCGGTGTGCCTCAAGGTACTGTTCTTCCTCCTTTCCTTTTCTCATTCTTTTTGTATGACTTATCGACCCCAGCTAAAGCTAACTCTGTCAAGTATGCTGATGACCTGACAGTATCCATGACGATCATCTCCTCTTCAGATTTTGTTCTCACTTTATTCACTTCTTAAAAGAAAATTTGTTTACTAGACTTCCTTAAATAGTCTCACACTCAATAGCTCCAAATCTCATCACATTCCTTCTCACCTCTACGAGTTCGTCTTTTACATACACCAGAAGCCATAGGAATCCACCTAAACAAGACAAGTCTATGTGTTCAGGAGAGATTCGTACAGCCTGTTTCTTTGCCTTGGCCATCTGTATAGCTCATTTATTACAACAAGACTCTTCACTTCATTTACCACTAATATTTTATTTAATAGCTCCATTATTATTATTATTATTATTACAGACTTAATCATCTTTCTCTCCCCCCTACTGTCTCTAATTACCGTCAACAATTTACCATTTTACGTAACAGTTCATTTCTGCTCTTTAGTTATCATTATACAAAATATCAATTATGTAAGAACCTGTTCACAAAATCTTCCTACGATAATTAATCTATGCTTTAGTGAACTGTCTTAATTACCTGATCAATTATCACCTTATTGATACTTTGAGATGGATAACCTTTCATTGAACAACTCTCACTACTAGACCGGTATGTAATTTTATGTTTGAAAATGCTACATATATTAGTGTAGAGCCATTGATGAGGAAGTAATTGAAAAGAAATATTTCTTCGTTCATATTGTTTCTTTTACTAAGTGTCTAAATGGGAATCTTTGCATTACTGAAATCTCAGACGGTTAATTTTAGCTTAAGTTGTGAAAAAGACTTTTGCACATTGCTTCAGCCTCATGACTCTGGTCTTATAGATGGTTCTGTTATACAGAATGTAGCAAGTGTGGTTCGTCTTCGCTTATGCTTTTCTTCTCATCTTTCTTCGTCCCCTCATATCTTATTCATTCCCAAGAAAATCCTTCACTTCACCTTTTATATTAGAAAACTCAGACTGTCTGGTATGACTCAACCTCTACTGTTACGTTTCATTAATTCGTGTGTTTTACCTATACTTATTTATTGTCCCCTCTTATTCTTTCATCGACCCTGGAGAAAGGATCATGTTGTATTGCGTAGGATTTTGAAGGTTGTTAGTAGAGTAAGTGGCACACTCCTAACCAAGCTGATAAATACAGTTGTGGATAGGCACCTGAACTCTTGTAGACTACTGGCTAAACATATAATGTGTGATGACAAGTATCCTCTGTATCGGTAACTTTCATCATGTCTGTCGTCTGCTAAACGGAACCATTGTTAGTGTTTTAAAAATGTTATGCAATGGGTAAACTGATGTAATACCACATGCTGAGAATTCTTTAACGTGAACATAATTATGGCGTGGAATAAAGGAAATTTATTATTTAGAGGTAGTATTCATCAAGAACTGAAATCACTTAGGGAACCATTGAAAACTTGAGAGTATTGTTGTTTCGTTCTAGTATGCAACCTCTCAGCAGTACACATCCATCACCCCACCGGTTAAGGATCGAACTCAGGACCGATGGGTTTTACGGTAAATCCGTTAACCATTCAACCACTGAGGTAGGCTGGGAAGAGTAGCTCAGATTTCAATGGTTCACTTTTTCCAACTTCTATCAATTCAAAATATATCGCAACTATTACCCAAGGTCTTCAGGTGATATTCACTTGATCAAGGAAGTAATATCATTTAGGGGAGGATTGGAATAGATGTTCAACGGCATCAAATTTTCAATAGTTCTCCAACTGAGGTCAATCCATCATGAATACTACCTTTAAATTCAAAATCCCTATTCATCTCCAAACATTTTTTATTATGATTATATATTAGTAGGATGAATTGAAACAAACGAATCACTCACTCCGTTACCCTCCTTCCTTCTTAAAATCAAGTTAGTAAATATTTTTATCGTTAAGGAGAAAATAATTTATTCAAACCACTTACAATTATCAATGTAAACAAGCTTAATTATATCATGAGGAATAAAAGTGATTCAATTAGACTTCTTTACAATAAAAAGTTCATACAAATGATCGAAATATGCTTTATAATAGTTACATCATATTATAATATGATGAAGAAGAGAAAACTTGAATTATCGCCGGTAAATAATGATTACAACATGATTAAAATAATTCAGCGTAAATAAGTAGTAAATGAAAAATTGAAAAAAAAAAAGAAAGGAAATTTTTTTTCTCCCTCTAAAATGAACAGTTTAATTGAAATGAAATCTGTTTATCTATTGTATTGCATAAAAATGAGATGATTATTGAAATAGTAGTAATGGAAGTGAAGCAGATATCAAGATATTTATAACAGGGAATTTTCGTTGTTATTGTTACTACTACTACTAATACTACCAGAAGTAGTAGTAGTAGTAGTAGTAGTAGTAGTAGTAGTAGTGATAGTGGTAGCGTTAACATCATGATCTAGTCTATAAAGACCATTATAATAATTCATATTAGTATTGTTTGATAGCGCAGAACAATTAATATCAGTTGAAAGATATGGTAATAGTTCAGGTGGTCGGCTAACTCCTTCACTAATATCCCAACACTCTTTCATAATATCTGAGTTAATCTTTGATGATATATATGAATCATGTTTGTAGTCAGGATGATTAATGACACGATTTCTGATCCATCTAGCAGTTGTCATTAACTCTCCTGAACAGATAATGGATAGAATTGATAAGAAGACATTATTATTATTATTATTACTATTATTATTATTATTATTATTATTGTTACATCAGTTTAGCATTCTAATTACCGATTTGATAAATTCATAAGCAAACATATATGAAAAGATGTTCCATCGTCTAGCAGTTTAGAGGTGATATACTCAAAGAGGCATTAATTCACTTTTAATGCTGGTAAATTAAAAAGTTCGTTTTACATCATATACTCAATGGTGATACCGAAACTGAAAGATGAATTGCCTAGAATAGCTGCCTTCCTGTTGTGTTTATCAGTTCAAATAAACTTGTGGAGCCAGTTACCTTGATCAGTGTTCTAAGAATTCAATTTTATGTGCTTGCAAACATCTCCTAGTAAACGTGTGATAAAAAAAACCATTACCAACTTCACATTAACAGACTTGATTGAAATGAACTATACGGTGGATATGAAATAAATTGTTTTCCATAAGGTCTCCCTGCTTCGAATCCTTCAGACTGTGAAAACAGTAGCAATCAAGGTCAAACAACCTGAGTTATGTATTGAAGAAAAAAACTTCCCACTACAACGATCATAGTCCAATTGGGGACTAATAAATTTCTTTTAACTCTACCTCAGTTAATCTAACTTTCTAATTCCATACCGTAGGTATCCTTTAATCCCTATAATCGGCCTGCTTAAACCTTAGGGCTACTGAAAATTTTCCACCGAATACATAAAATTCCTTCTGTTTAAAATTTCTTCTAACCTTAAGGAGTCATGTATTCTTGTAAACTTTTGAAATGGTTTCAAACTAACACTTTTCTAGCTAACAACAAAATAAAGATAGAAAACTATGTCGATAAGAGATAGGCTCATAGAAGCATAAACATACAGTCGATTACTACTCGTTGGATAAATATGTCCACACACACACACACACACACACACATATTGACTGGAATAAAGAAATCACTATTATTATTATTATTATTTTTTCCTTGGGTTCCTAGTGCAACAGAGGGCTTCAGTAACTCACCACCATTGGACTCTAGTCTCTGCAGCCTTCTAAACCTGGCTCCACGACTGACCACAAGCTTTCATTTCCTCCTTAAACCATCTCCTCCATATCACCCTCAGACACCCAACTCGTCGTTTCCCACTTGGCTTCCACTCGAGGGTATGGCCTGGCCTGATGCTTGATGTATCCAATGTATGTATAGTCCACTTCATCTCCACTCACTTCTGCATATCTGTTATGCGACATGTTCTTGGTTGGTTGGTTGGTTTGTTGACAGCCAGTCAGACTTCCTTGTTACTTGTTCTTATTATTCTGGCCATCTACCTGATCTTCATTGCCAGCATCAAGTGAGTGTAGGCAGTAGCTGTTCATGTGATATATGTGTGCAGTTTGTTGGAAATGCTTTTCGTAACGCACCAAGTCTGTCAACCATCACATGGAAGCACTGACTTACTTGATTGAATTAGTGTTGAAAATCCGGATAATGTTCAGGCTTTATGCTGAGTGTAGTTCAGTTCAGTAGATCTCCACACTGATTATTTGAGATTAATGAAGGCTTGTCTTGTTGTCTTTCTGATCCTGGCTTTGACATCCTTATCTGTGCCGTCACCGCCACCTGTAGTTGAAACGATACTGCCTAGGTATGTAGGTAAGTGAAAGAGACAACTTCGTTTAGATGGTTGATGGTGATTGGCGCTTGTTGTTGTTGGTTGGGTATCTTCCTCACCTCTGTCTTCTATACGTTCATCTGAAAGAAGTCCTATCTTTGCTGCCTCGTCTCTTCTGACAGCTTGTTAATTCAGGCATGTGTACAATCAAGAGCAGTTGAGTTAATAATAATGTGTTCTTTACAACTGTTGATTTCTTAGAAGATAGTTAAGAAGTCAAGTAACTGTTCATTTCTTTTTCTTTCAAGCAGATGTATTTTGGCAAGTACAAATGAACTGGTAAATACAGTTTAAGGCAGTTTATTTTTATCGACTGTAATGAACACATTAGTTTTCTTTCAAGGAAGACTTGCTAGATGGATAAATATCAGTTTCATGTTTGTTTAATAACTTGAAATCTATAGGAAGTTTCATTTACACACTTCAGAGTGATTATTTCTTCTAAAGATATTTCTGAATTGAAATAAATTTCTCTTCTAGTTTATTCACCTATAACAGATTCATTACTTTATGATTTAGTGTCGTGACAAATTTTCTTTTATATAGTGAAAGCTATGGTAGTAGTAGTATTATAGATCTAAAATTCTGAAGTTTGTAAACAACTGATGAGAATGCTATGAAATACAATGTATGTTACAAAATATATTCATTTCTAAGCATTACAATTAATGAAGAGAATTACATTTATGCCTTATAAGCAGAGATAAGGTGAATAATTTCAATTTATTGCGAGGATTTGTAGTTGAAAGACGCTTTTTTTTTCATTTTTAACTATATGATCAAAGTAGGACTAAGCACAGAAGTGTACCAGTTAAAATTGTTCCACTTTACAGCAGTATGCGATAAAACGGTGAATAGAAACCGAATCATCATCATTATCAACATAGGACCAGGCATTACTGAGTAACGGTCCAGCTTGCCACACCTCACGTCAGTTCATCAAGTAAGAAGGTTGTGAGGTGAAGGATGAACATAACAGAATGCAGTCAAAAGAAATATTAAGTACGAGAAGAAAGAAAGGAAGAATGACAAAAATGGTGGGATTCGGTATAGTGTTGTTAAGATGAGGATAATGTGTGTGGGGATACATCTGCGCCACTGACATCGGTTCTCAGCCATGTGATCACCTAGAGTCAGTCTCCAATCACTGTTGGTTTCTCTTGTCCCGTGGACCTCAACCACCTAGTCTTCATCGTCCTACATGGCTCAAACCAACAGTCAAACACTTCATGCATTGGTGCCATGTTTTAGTCTGGCCACCTCGGCCTTTTTCCAGCCTGGACCCACCTCAGCCAACATTGTGTGACGAGGCAATCGGTGACTAGGCATATGTAGTACGTGTCCCAACCATCTCAGTCGATGAAAGTTCATAGCCTCGTCAACTGATTTACCTCTACTCCCTAAAACTCTACACCTGACGTCTGCATTACTGACGTGATGACACTACGGAATAAAGCCTATACTACGAAGACAACGGTGGTCAAACTCTTGAAGTCTTCTCATGTCTTCCACTTTCAATGGCCATGTTTCACAGCCATAGGGTAGAACAGAACGGACTGCTGTACAGTACACGCGACCCTTGATAGACAAACGAATATCACGGCGACGCCATAGGTGGCGCAAATTGGCAAAAGCCAATCGAGCCTTTTGTATCCGAGCAGAAATCTCATCGGCAACTAACCCACCGGGGTTGATTCTACTTCCCAGGTAAGTGAAGTGGTCAACACACTCAACCACTTCACTGTCTGTTGTTAGCCGTGGCACCGCTGAAGACCAGTCCTGGAGCAAAAAATTGCATTTGGTGGTGTTGGTGAAAATCGCATCTCAAACATTCTCAGATTCCCACTCAAAGTGTTCAGCAGTCTCTGCATCTTGTTAGCGTCGTCTTCACCTAACAGGACTATGTCATCTGCATATTCTAGATCTAAAGAAAATTCACCGAATGATATAAAAGTAAGTGGCGTAATTGAACTTTCGGCTACCAAATCTATTCATCGAACATTTTTCATTTAATTCATTCCTTTCAATTTGTTTTAATCATTTAAATATCTTCTTTGAACTAAGATCATATACTCTAGCACATTTTAAAACTGTTTTCCAACTCTCCGTTTCTTCAGTGTCAGTAACAAACCAGAGGAAAACCTGTTACGTTACATAGAAATGAACTTTTCAGTGCAAAAAAGTACATCCATCAGATGTTCAGCTTGAGTTGTAGATTTTTGTATCGACTGAATGAACCACCGCCACCACTGAAATTACGCTTACATTTCTGTCAATTCTTTATTATGCACCAGATGCTCAACTACAACAACCTGGTTATTTCACATTATTCCCATGAATACTGTTATCATCAACATCATACAGATCCAATAACCGTTTCATATGAAAGTATTGTTGGTCTGGAAGTGAATATTTCGAAAAATTACATGCTGAGAATTGAATACTGTCATGCATATTGCTTGGAATAAAGTGATTATTATTATTATTATTAAAGGCAAAATTATATGAGAGGCAAGAGAATAAATTATTAGACATCAGAAGATGGTGATATTTCAGCTGTAGAAACATAAAACTTAATCATTTCAAATGATGGAAAAGATTTGTAGTTCAGAATGAGGATGATAGTGGTCTAGTATCTCGTTGGCAACCTTTTATCACCAAGCTTGTCACAACAAAATATCAAAGCTGAGAGAACCCTGAATGGTTAACGCTTTCGCTATGAAACCTGAAGGTCCTGAGTTCCATCCCTAGCCGGGTCGTGGGTGTGTACTGCTGAGGAGTCCCATACTAGTTGGAAGAAACAACTGTCCAGTGCTCCCAGATTTTCAATGGTTCCCCAACTGATATCAGTCCATGATGAATACTACTTCTAAATTAAAAATCCCCATTCACCTCAAAAATAAATTATATGATAATTAGCATTTAAATCTTCCTCACTGACAAATTGAATGCTTTCTACGTCTCCATTCCACTCTCTTCTCCGAAATCTTTCGAAGCTGGCTCCACGACAGCCCAGAACCTGTCATTTCCTCCTCGCATGATCTCCTCCATGTCACCCTCAACACCGATGCCCAACTCGTCGTTTCCCATCTGGGTTCCACTCAAGGACCTGGCGCATGATGTTCCCAGTCGGCTTTCTCAGTGTATACCCAATCCATCTCGACTTCCTGCTACTGCATATTTGTTGAGTGATAGGTTCTTGGTTGGTTGATTCAAGCATACAAACACTTATATAAATCGATGTTATTATTGCTTTGCTTTCGGTTGTAAGTACAGCTGATGAGAAACCATGAAATAAAAATGGACCCATCCTATTCTAC